CCCCCCCACTTAATTGCTCACGGCAATAATAAAAAAAATGGGCAACCTTATAACAAAATGCTACGGCATTTATTAATTGAACATGATTATCACTTAATTAAGCATAATTAAATGCTTAATTATTTAGTTAGACATGATACTTAATTACCAAAATTATTCCGAACGTAAACGGTACTTTCGAAAATAATTTCGGATAATCTCGATTGAAATAATTAATTTCGAAAAATAATACTCGACAATACTATTATATCGAAACTAAATACATGATATATATTATTAACATGACGGGATATTACATTATATATATATATACTATATATATATATAGATAAATATTAAGGGATTCGTATCAAATGCAACCTTAGGATTTGGTTGTGGTTGTGGAAGGTAAGTGTCGTTAGTGAGTGAAAAGGAGAAGCCTGAGAATTCATTGGCACATTACTGCACATGTGTGATGTTTTGTTCTATCGTGTGTTGGTACACCATCAAATGGCTAGGGGTGAGCGTGGTCGGTACGGTTCGGAGATTGATAAATCTCCAGAACCGTACCAAAGTTCGGAGATCCCAAAATTCGATCTTCAGAACCGTGCAAAAAGTCGGTTTGGTCCGGTTCAGATATTTTTATTTTTCGGTTCAGTTCAGTTCGGTATTCGAGACTATTGGGACGGTACGGTTCAGTATGGTTTGGTTCGGATCTTCGGAGATTTCTTATTTTTTTAGATTTTTTTTAATGACTACCTAGTTATATTTTAATTTTTAAATGCTTTAAAAAAACAACATTCATCAATAATTCGTCATATTGAAGATTTTATTTTGAAATCAATTTTAGAAGTAACTCTAAATTTTAGTTATTTAATTTTTATATGCTTTAATAAAACCAACATTCATCAATACTTCCTCATATTAAAAATTTTATTTGAAATCATTTTTACAAGTAACTCTAAATTTTAGTTAAGACTAAATTTGTGCAACTAATATTAAAAATTTAAAATTCAAACAAAATAAAATATTTTTTTCTAAAAAAATATTCTTTAACCTTTCATATTATTTTAAATAATTATTTTATAATAGAAAAAAATCAATTGTAGATCAAGTATTACTAAACATGAAAGTTAAGTGAAGGTTAATAGTTATTATTACTATATTATAATGGATCAAAGTGACATAAAATATATTAATAACACATCTAATGTTATAATTCAGTTCTTAATTTCGGTTCTTCGGTTCGGTACGGTATGAGGCGGTTCAGTTTGGTTCTCGGTACGGATATTTGTGAAATCTCCAGAACCATACCAATTATTTTTTCGTTTCGGTTCAGTTCGAAGAAAGTCAAACGGTCAACGATTATTTTTCGGTTCAGAGTGATTTCGGTTCGGTTTTCGGAACGGTTCGGAATTCTCCGAGTCCCATGCTCAGCCCTACAAATGGCCACCTATGGAATTATAATAGTTTAACTGCAAATGTCATTAAAGCTATCCAAGTTCCCTTTTTGGAATTTTTTCACTCTCTAGAGTTGGTTTCTCCAAGTGAGATGGGGTACTAGGGTTTCTCGCATGATTTATCCTTCATTCTCTCGTATTTCAGATCGATTTTTACCTTTGTTGCTCATCAAATCTCTGTAAGTTCTCGTTTCTCAGTTTGTCTTTGTCTTCTTCGTTCTTGCTTTCCCTGGTCCTTGGGTGTGCGCTAGGCTTTTTTGGGGCGAGCCTAGTCGGGTTAGCTCCCCCAGAATTAGGTGTGTGTTCGGTGTTTTTTCATTAGGTTATGGAAGGGGATCTGATTGATAAGCTCAATTCTTTTGAGCTTTCTGAGAAAGTGGATAAAGGGGTGAGTCTATTGGACCTAGATATTGCCCCTACTCTTCAAGAATGTAAGCTTAGTCTCATTGGTAAGGTTTATGGAAAGAAGAAGATAAACTTCACTGGTCTGAAAGCAACTCTTGGTAGCATTTGGATGACCAAATCTCCATTTTCCATGAAGTGTATTGGGCATAACCTTTTCCATTTTCTTTCTAAATCAGAGGAGGATCTAGATAAAATCCTTAACGGTAAAACTTGGTCTTTCGATAGTCAGTACATTCTCTTTAAGAAATGGTCTCCTGGTCAGGTTGAGTTCCAAGAGAATGAGGAAGTTATTAAAATGTGGGTGCAAATCAACAATATTCCTCTCCATTGGATAGCCCCTAAAACTGGCTACAAGCTGGGCTCTTTAATTGGTAGGGTTTTTAGATGTGCTTGTCCCTGCAGCTGGTAGTTGGGATGGGCAACTGGTTAAGATCCTTGTGGAGATGAATTTAAATGAACCTATCCCTAGGGGAGCCAATGTTAAATTAGGGCAAGATTGCAAATGGGTTGATTTCAGGTATGAACATTTGCAAACCTTTTGCTATTACTGTGGGAAGATAGGGCATAATGATAGGGGTTGCTCTTCTAAAAAAGAAGACATCAATAGAGGGATTGTTAAACATTGCCAATATGGGGACTGGCTTAAGGCAACCCTTATTAGCTTCCTAGAATCTAAGAGCATTAACTCCTCAACTAGGGGTAGTACTCAAGATAAGAGTGGTGGGGGAGAATCTGTTAGATCTCAGCCTCAAGGTAGTGGGTTGGGGAATGTGGGTAGTAACCAAGGGACAACATTAAATATTCCCGATAAAGGAATGATGATTCTAAGGCCCGAAGTTCCTGAGGAAAACCTAAGATCGGAGGGATCCAATGGTAAGGGGATTGAAGTTAGAAGTATAGGGGAGAAAGTGGTGAGTGAGGAGGATCTCAATGAATCCCAACTCATGGACATCACTGTCCAGTCAACCACTATAGATGGTAGGGTTCTCCAGAGAAAAAAAAAACCCTTTGTCAGAAAACCTAGAGTTCAGACCAACAGAGGCAAGGAGGCTTTGGGATCTGCCAAGAGAGAGTTGTTGGGGTTATTATAGGGGAGAAAGAGAGTACTAAAAGATCTTTTGAATTGTGTATTGGTCCTGAACATGAAGGGCTCGAGAGAGGGGGTAGTAGTAAGAAAGTTTAAAAGTCTGATATGCTTTTGACCTTGGTGGAGAAAACCAGCCATAACTAGTCCCAAGGTGATCAATGAAGGTTGCTATGTGGAATTGTAGAGGACTGGGAGGCCCTCTACAATTTCCCAAATCAAAGAGTCTTTTAGGACTCACCTTCCAGATTTTCTGTTTCTCTTTGAAACAAAAAAAAAAAAAAAAAAAAAAAAAAAAAAAGAAAAAATTGTTAAAACTGTTTGTAGGAAGTGTAAGTTTGAGGATAGGTGGGTGGTGGTTAATCCTGTAGGGACTAGGGGAGGCTTGTTTCTTTGCTGGTCTAGTAATATTAAGGTGGAGAAGCTTTTGTGTAGTGAATTTTGCATTGAAGTCTTCTTTAGATTCCAAGATAGCACTACTCCAAGTGGGATATCTTTGTTTATGCCAGTACTAACCTCTCTGAAAGACTTGTCCAATGGAATTTTCTGTTGAGACAGAGCCTAATGTGGGGTAATCATTGGTTTTTGGGAGGGGATTTCAATGATATCCTCTCCAATCAGGAGAAGAATGGGGGTTTAAGGAGGAAGGAAGGTAGTTTTAATAATTTTAGAAATCTTGTTATGGGTTTAGGGGTAGTGGATAGCAGAGTGATGGGTCATCCTTTCACCTGGTCTAACCATAGACAGAGGGAGGATTTTATAGAGGAAAATTTAGATAGATTCTTATTTTCCCCTGACTGGTTTTGTGCTCACCCCAATGCTGTGGTGAGACATATCCCTATATTCTCATCGGATCATTGTATGATTTTGTTAGAGATGGATAGGATGGAGACTAAGAGAAATAGAAGATTTCTGTTTGATAATAGATGGGTTAAGGAGGTTGGGTTTCAGGATTTGATCTCTAAGGCCTGGAATATCCCTGTGGATGGTGTTGTTATGTGATTCTTAACAACGATGTAATGTATGATTAAGTGGGTAATTTAGAATGATTTGAACGTAAAGCATGTAAGATTGAATCGACAATGGCCCCGGTCCGAGGTGAACCGAGGTGAAGAGCCGTGATGGGCTTTTACGTGTTGCTTTTTTCAAGTTTTTTCAATTCGGAGAGAGCTTCCCGTACAAATGTCATAGGCCCGCTATTTATAGTAATTTCGGGTTGATACATTGGGATCTGTGCATGACTTTTTCGAATAAAGCTACTTTTTTGTGGGCGGTTCGAGGCAGGGGGTCCCACATAAATGATGACGGATCTTGTGGAGCTGGAGGGTCAGACGTAGGCGCCTTGTCACCTGCTTAGGGAGGTGACAACCTCGGTTCATGTTGATCTCGGAAGATGTTGACCTCGGCAGCCGTTGACCACTTCGGTCTTTGGTGGTTCAGACCGGTTCTTTTGTGCAGATCGGTGTGGTTCTGATTCATGTCGGTTTAAAAGTTAATCACATTTAATAGCATGCTTAAAACCTCTTAACAGTGTCTTGCCGAGTCGGATAATAACAGATGGTTTCAGTCTCTACAATATTCAAAGTAGAGTTAGGAGTGTGAGGAAAGCTATCCTTGGATGGTTACCCACGTTTTCCTACAACTCTGCTAAGGATATTGAGAAATTGAAAGCTAAAATGAGTGAGTTTGAGTCTTTAGGTGCTGATAGGGACTGGGAAGGGTGGAGAAATTGTAGAAATAGGTTACACATTGCCTATAAGCATGAAGAAACTTTCTGGCAGCAAAAAGCTAGGATTAATTGGGGGACAAAAACACAAAGTTTTTTCAGGCTTATGTGAATCAAAGAAGAAGATGTAATGCCTTGGATAACTTGTGTAAGTTGGATGGGTCTAAATGTAGAAATGAGCAGGAGACCATAGGAGTGATTGAGCAGTATTTTGTCAATTTGTTTAAATCTTCTAACCCTTGTGTGGAGAGTTGTAATCATGAGGAGATCCCTTCCTCTATTTCTCCTGAGAAGAACTCAAGACTCTCTGAGGATGTCGCAGAGAAAGCAATTGAGGAAGCCCTTAAAGATATGCATCAAGACAAAGCACCAGGGGAAGGTGGCTTAACTGTTGGTTTCTTCCTTAGTTCTTGGTCTATTGTTAAGAGGCATGTTGTTGAGGCTATTCATAATTTTTTCTCTAGTGGGAGAATCCCTAAGGGTATTAATCATGTTATCATTACTTTAATTCCAAAGGAAAAAAAACCCTTCTCAGATGGTTGATCTCAGGCCAATCAGTCTCTGTAATGTTCTGTACAAATTAATTGCTAAAATTCTTGCTAACAGGCTTAAAACTGTCCTTCATGTCTGCATTTCATCTGCGCAATCTGCATTTGTCCCAGGCAGGCAAATTTTGGACAATGCAATCATAGCCAGTGAGTGTAATCACTACATTAATGACAAGACGACTGGTATGGATAGATTTATGGCTGTTAAGCTAGATATGTCTAAATCTTATGATAGGATTGAATGGGATTTTCTTGCTAGAGTATGTCTTAAGATGGGTATTTTCCATAGATTTGTTGATTGGATTCTTTCTTTTGTGTGTTCTACCACCTTCAGTTTCAATGTCAATGGGGCTAATGTAGGTTTTGTTAGTGCCAGTAGAGCTTTAAGGAAAGGGGACCCTAATGCAAGCGTAAGCGTCCTGGTCCGGTTCGGGATAGATTGGTTCTTGTCCTCGCCGGTAGAACGCTGAAAACCTGCAAATAACTCTCACACCGGGGGTTGTGCCCGGTGAAGAGCCTCCGATGCTTAAGTCAGTATGTGTATGAGTATACTGAAATGAAGTATGGAAAATAGAATGTGTTAAGGGAGAAATGCTCACCCCCTTTATATAGGGGTGAGATACCTTCTCTAATAGCTGCCCGGATAAGGATGAGCTGGCTGCCCAAGCTGCCCGTCCGTACTCTGACACGCCGCGCACATGTCAGAGGTGGCGCGGGGCGTTGGGAGCTGTCAGATGTGGTTATCGCTATCACCCAATACATTGTCGACACGTGTCCCCCCTGCACATGGGGTAAATATTCTCCTGGGATTCAGTTAGAGGCTCTTACGCGCGCCCGTGATACACGCGCCCATGACTAGGCCGACTGTTGGTTCCTCGAAGCGATCGACCTGTTGAGGTCGAATAGGTTGCCCGATCATGTATCTGGTCGAGCGATGGGTTGATCGATCGTTTGTCTGGTCGTGCAATGGACTGGTCGACCACCTGTCTGGTCGACTATCTGAATGATCGATCCTCCCGCTTCTTATCTTGGCTTTCTCCTAGTTCGATCTTCTCAATCGGCTGAGTACACTGGTTTATCCTTGAGTATATAATATCCCATATCATCTAGTCCCCCCCCACTCTGGTCGAGTCTGAATGACTCGATCTAAGAGTGAATTCGTATCTATCGACCTTCTGGATGGCTCGTCGTCAAATATCGACCAGCTGGTAAGTTTCCCGCTCATATTTTCAAATAATTTTCCCTTTATCGCTAGAAATAAAGTCGTCTGTTTCAAGTCCTTTCTGTCGCACCCGCTTTTCTGCCACGCATCGCATCGGCTGCATGTGTCAGGCGCTTTAATAATGACACCCCTTCGCATAACGTGCCAGCCTTGAGTGCTGTGTAAATTAATGCCTCCTACTGTACGATCGGGCTTTAATCTAACGATCTTTATCTTCTCATCCCTTAAACTTCCCCAAGTATAAATTCGACACTTAGTAAAATTTCGGACTTTTTCCACCTTCATTCTCCCCAAATTCCTTTGCATTCAAAGTCCTCTCTGCAAAAAATCCTAGCTTCCGTCGGCGATTCTTCCTGTAATCTTCAAGATTTCCCGATTCTCTCCTCCGCGATTATGAGTAAGTTGTTTTTCCCCTGATTTTGTACTTCATATATCTGGGATTTTGTGTTTTGAGAATTTTTTTCTCCCTCTTTTTTTCAAATTGGGCATCTTGAACCTTACTGACTGGGTATCTTGAATTTGTGTATTGGGCGTTCTTGTTTGGTTGTCAATTGCTGTGGATTTTGCTTCCTTCTTCAAAAAGTCCCCTGAAATCTTTGTTCTTCCGCTTTAATTTCTCCGAAATCACCCCTCTTCGTAGAACCCTAGTTTTTCTGTTCTTGATTCCGTTTTTGTTGTTTGAATTTCTCTCTCTTCTTTTTTTTTTCTTTTTCAGATCCTGTGCCTCCATCTCCTTCCTCGACCACTTTCTCTGACTCAGTCCAGATACTACCTTCTGCACTTGAGGCCGTTCCTCTCTCGATTCTTTGCCCCGGTGATACTGTCCCTACCCGTGTTTTCATAGCTCGCGTTGCTTCTTCCAACTCTGGGGATACTATGGATAACATTTCTCTCCGCCGCCGCCGACCTGCTCTTGGCGCGTTAGATGAGCCAGAGGAAAATGAAGTTATTTCTCCTCAGCCCACTGCTCCTTCATCTTCAGCCATCCCGCCTTCTTTCTCCCAACCTGGATCTTCGAACTCTCCGCCCAAACGATCCTCGACCAAAAAACTCTCCCAGCGTTCGTCTTCGACCTCTCTCTCTCATCCCTGGTTTAATCCTAAGAAAATTGGCCAACCTCTTGGTTGGGCATTCCTTAGGTCTTCTTCCTCTGACAAATATGATCATCCTCCGCGTGATTGTTATACTTTTTTCGAGATACAGTTCAAACTTGGTCTCCGCTTCCCCCTAAGTCCTGAGCTGCTTCGCATTTTCGAATGGTTCTCGCTTCCCCTGCATCAACTTCCACCTAACGCTATCCGTTTTATGAACATCTTCATTATTCTCTGTCACGTTCGTTTAGGTCGATTTGACCTGGATTTCTTCCATTATTGCTATACCCCCTCTAAACAAGGTCGAGGCCTTTATTTGAAAAGTCGCAACGGCGGCCATTTTATTAATGATATTCCTTCTAATCTTCCCAAGTGGAGCGACAAATTCATTTTTGTTCGACCTGACGCCCCTTTTTCTTGGCCTTCGGTCCCCTGGGTCAAGAAAGTCTCAAAAGAGGCGGCTTTGGCCCCTCCTCCGAATCCTCTTTTCGACCAACGGGTCCATACTTGGAACTACAAGACCGTTGCATCGGAAATACTACTCAAGGATGAGAATATTCTCCACTACTGTGGTCTTCTTACCCATAAAGTTTGTCCTCCTCCTACCGATGAGGTCCTCGATCTCATTCGGCTTGAGAATGATCCAGGTAATAGTCGAGCAAATTGGTCAAGTGTTTATGCGTTTCGTTTCTTTGTTTTTGTTGTGAGTGATTTTTGCTGATTGTCGGGTATGATCTGTGTTGTGATCTTCTTACAGAGGTGCCCAGTTTCAACATACCTCCGAGGAAGACTCCTCTAAAAAAAGAAGTCAGGGGTAGCCTCTGGCTCGACGAGCGACAAGGCTGAAGGATCGACCAACTCCGGTGGGTCTCCACCAGAGCCGCAGCAACGATCGCCCCCACAAGAGATTCCGCCGCCTCCTCCACCGCCGTCGAAGGAACAACAGCAGCAACACCTGCAACAGCAACCTCCGCCTTGACAGCGGCAGCAACAACCTCCACCTCGGCAACAGCAGCAACAACAGACACGCCAAACCCCTCCACCTCCTCCTGGGAAGGTACCACACCGTCTTCTACCTCGGCCGCTGCCACCCAATCCTCGAGCACGTCCAAGTCTGACGATCGCCACAATAGAACCGTCGACCGCCAAGTTATCGACCGTCAACAAAAAGCTGACGGTCGCCACCAAAAAACTGACGATCACCGCAAAACCGACGACCGCCATCGAGCCGAACACCGCCAAAAGATCGACCCTCGTGCTCCCAATCCAAAGGATGTCACTCTTTCCAAAGCCGCGGACAAGTCTCTTGAGCCTCATATCTCGTCCAAGGCTCAGACCCAAGAAAAACCCCCCTCCAACCGACAGTTTTCTATCCCACCTGAAGGATCGACCAAGGCTATGGTCGAGTCCCACAATCAAGACGATGGGGGATGGGAAGTTACCCTGGGCAAGCGTCCTCGTACCGACCAAGGTGAGGTAGTCTGGAAACGAGGGCGTACCAGCCATCAGTGGCCTGATCCGTTAACCCCGAAATCAATGTCTCTTTTGTCGGCTTCCGTTAATAAGGTGGCCGACCGTCTCGAGGGTGCCTCCTCGAGGATGACCGCAAAAAGGCCAGCGTCATGCTGCCCGAGGTTGGCGATAAACTCGTGCAGTGGCTTGCTCAGGTATTACTCCTCTCTAACTCTACATTGGTTCTTCTCATTTTTTTTTGTCGATACATACGTTGAATTACCTTATCATTTTTGTTGATAGGGCTTGGTCGACTTTTTTCCCTTGGCCAAAGAGGCCCGAGACAGCTCTCGCGGTGAGAGAAGCCGCCCTCGCGGCTAAGGAGATTGTGGTGGCGGAAAAAGAAAATGTGTTGAAGGAGAAGGAGACTGCGCTCGAGCAAGAGCGGACTGCTCGAACACAAGCAGAGGCTGCTCGAGCGCAGTCGGAGGCTGCTCGGGTGCAGGCAGAGGCTGCTCGAGTTGAGCTGGAGGCTACCCTAGCCAAAGAAAGGGCTGCCCACGCCAGCCAATGCAAACGCTACGCTGATGCCGCTGCTCTCCGGGCTCGGCAGATGATGTGGGGCACCACTACTGGGCAGCTCTTTCTCCGAGAGTACCGCGAGCAAGTGGTGGCCGATTTCACGCGGTCACCACAATATTTAAAGGAGGTGCAAGATTTTGGGGTAGACTGCTTTTAGTTTGCCCTTCAGAAGGCCGGCGAGCAGATCGCCGAGGACGATTTCGAGCAGCTTGACCCTGGGGCTATCTGGGAGGCCTTGCCCAAGGTTCCTTCTAGCTTCCAGGGGGATCCTAGCCTACCCTCTAAGCACGAGTGGTGGTCGGGGCTACTTGGAAGGACTCTGGCTCGATCAGATATCTTGAAGAAAACTTATGCTCTGTCCGATGGTCTAACTCCCCCAGCCTCGATGTTGGCCGTGCTGACTGAGTCCATCCGCCAGCGTCCACTTAATGAAGCTTGCGACTCGACCTCTAGGACCAGCCGTCTGCCCGATCCCATTGCTAATCAAAGCAACGCCGATTCGACCGCAACTCCTCCTCCTTAGTTTTAGCTTTATATTTTCCAGTTTGTCTCTTTTGAATCTGAACTATGTACTCCGATGAACTTTGCTATATTCGTGGAATGGTGATATTTTGTTTTTTTGACTTGCCTTGATCTTCGATAATGCTCTTAATAATTAGACTTATTGCCTTTGTCATAACTCGTTAATGGAAACACCAAAGCGGACTTCAGAGTGTGATTGATGTGCACTTTGACGTATGAATAACACACTTTCATTAGTCGGCCCATTCTTCGTTATTTAGATAATGTTTTTAGGTTTGCCTCACGATCACTTGAATGATTTAGTCCTAACATACACATATACACTTTGATGAACTTTAAATTTTTGAACACATGCCCACCCCTGGAGGTGGTCGAGACATGCGACCATCCAGCCCCGTGGCCTTAAACATGATGGCTTTTAAATTTTTGAACACATGCCCATTCCTGGAGGTGGTCGAAACATGCGACCATCCAGCCTCGTGGCCTTAAACATGATGGGTTTTAAATTTTTGAACACATGCCCACCCCTGGAGGTGGTCGAAACATGAGACCATCCAGCCTCGTGGCCTTAAACATGATGGATTTTAAATTTTTGAACACATGCCCGCCTCTGGAGGTGGTCGAAACATGCGACCATCCAGCCTCGTGGCCTTAAACATGATGGATTTTAAATTTTTGAACACATGCCCACCCCTGGAGGTGGTCGAGACATGCGACCATCCAGCCTCGTGGCCTTAAACATGATGGGTTTTCTGCACCGTTGGAGTTCTCTGTTACGCTCAAGCTTTTGTGCTCGTCCTCTGGTCTTGAAGTTGCGCTCATCCCGGTGTTCTTGTTTCCATGTTTTCTCACTTGGCTATAAGGTCTACATTGCGAGGGATTTATCTTCACACTCGTCCACCCACGAGGAATGTTCCAAACAGGAGGTCTTCGGCTAACCTGCCCGCCCCAAGGGATGTTCTAAACAAGTGACCACCCAGCCCGAGGGCCTTAGTCATGGTGGGTTTATGTCTTCACACTTACCCACCCCGAGGAATGTTCTAAACAGGAGGTCTTCGACCAACCTGCCCACCCCAAGGAATGTTCTAAACAAGCGACCACCCAGCCCGAGGGCCTTAGTCATGGTGGGTTTTTGTCTTCACACTTGGCCTCC